TTTTTTGGCTGCATCTTGCTGTTTTGGAGAGTTTGGGATTGTATCTTGGTGTTTTGGAGAGTTTTGGGGCTGTACCGTGGTGTTTCGGGGGGGGTGTGGGGGGTATCGTGGTGTTTTGGAGGGTTTTGGGGCTGTGTCTTTGTCTCTTGGGGGGGTTTGGGGCTGTATTTTGGTGTTTCGGAGGGTTTTGGGGCTGCATCTTGGTGTTTCGGAGGGTCTTTAGGCTGTATCTTGGTGCTTTGGAGGGTTTGTGGGCTGTATCTTGAGGGTTTTATGGACACAAGATGGTGCTGGTGTCCTTCCCGTTGACTTCCCAGAAGAGATGAACTTGGGCAGGAGCAATCCAACACCGCAAACGGGGAAACGCGCTCACAGCTTGGGTTTTTTTTCTCCCCCAAAACAGGATTTCCCGTTCTTGAAGCTTGGCCAGATCGAGGAGGAAGCTGCGAGGAAGAGGAGATGCTACGAGATACCCCCGCAGGTGAGGAGGAATTCACTTGACCTTTCATCCTCTCTTCTCCTCCACCTTCCAGCCGAGCATCGCTTCGGGCTGTGGGACAGCCCCGTTGCTGGTGTCGACCTCCTGGAGACGGATCCCGGAGGATCTCCTTCCCTCTGGGATGGAGGCAAATCCCTTTCCTTTCCTTGTTCCTTCCTCCAGCGGGCGATGAGATGGGGATGGAGAACACAGAGGACAAACCCCACCGGCAGAGCTTGGTGGAAGAGGCTGTTTTGAAGGGCTCTGTGGAACAGGAGGTCAACGGGGAGGAAAAACCAAGGAGATGCCCCACGGGGAGAGGTTGTAAACCCACCCCACGAAGCTCGGAGGAGGAAAGACCGACCATCTGCGAGGAATGCGGCCGGAGCTTCAGCCGGAGCTCCAACCTGGTGGTGCACCAGCGGTTGCACGCCGGAGAGAAGCCCTACAAGTGCTTGGAGTGCGGGAAGAGCTTCAGCCGGAGCTCCCATCTCATCACCCATCAACGTCTGCACACCGGGGAGAAGCCCTACAAGTGTCCCGACTGCGGCAAGAGCTTCAGCGACAGCTCCACCCTCATCACCCACCAACGCTTGCACACCGGCGAGAAGCCCTACAAGTGTCCCGATTGCGGGAAGGGCTTCAACCAGAGCTCCAACCTCACGTCCCACCAACGCACCCACACCGGGGAGAGACCCTACAAGTGCCCCGAGTGCGGGAAGAGCTTCAGCGTCAGCTCCTACCTGATCCGCCACCAGAAGATCCACACCGGGGAGAGACCTTATAAGTGCGAGGAGTGCGAGAAGACATTCAGCCAGAGCTCCAGCCTCATCATCCACCAGCGCGTCCACACCGGGGAGAAGCCCTACAGGTGCGTTGACTGCGGGAAGTGGTTTAGGAACAGCTCGGACCTCATCAGGCATCAGCGGACACATACGGGTGAGAGACCCTACCGCTGCCCCGACTGCGGGAAGAGCTTCAACCGCAGCTCCAACCTGATGACCCACCAACGTATCCACACCGGGGAGAAGCCCTACGAGTGTCCCGAGTGCGGTCGGAGCTTCACCGTGAGTTCTGCTTTAATTAAACACCAAAGGACCCACCGGGAAGAGAAGCCCTATGAGTGCCCCGACTGCGGGAAGAGCTTTATCCGCTGCTCGAACTTCATAACCCATCGGAGGACCCACGTTGGGTAGAGATCTGGTGACTTACGTTGGGCAGAGACCTGGCTGGAGGTCCAAAAGTCTTTCCATGGATGAACGCGGGTAGGAACATCCATTTGGTGAGGTGGGCTCTGCTGTGGGACACAGACCAACGGAGAAATCCATTAAGAAGAGTGGACTCATCGGCTTTAGACCCCAAAAAGTCACATCTGCTCAGTCCAATAATTTCTTCTGGTGGCATCAAGCAACACCAGATGGATGACGGGCTTCTTCCACAGCCAACTGGTGAATGGATTTGGGCACAGACCGAGATTTTGAAGACACTGCTTGGGACTTAACTTCTTCAGGAAGAAAGAAATAGGGTGGAAGTGGTCCCATAACCCTGTTGGGACCCACAAGGCCAAGTTCTTCCTCATTTACAGGTTATTTTTTCCTTCACCTCATATTCGGTGGCACGGTACAACCTCTCTCCTGCCCATCTACGATTCATCTTTGGATGAATAAACTCTTGAGTTGTCCAAAGGGCTTCGGAAGAGGCTCCAGCAACATCTTAGGGATGGAGATGGGCACAGTCTCTCCACAAACTCCACGTTCCACTCTTGTTCTCTTTGTGCTGTCAAAAATAAGAACTCAGCTGTAATAAATGTTTTTTTCTCCACTCGCCTCCTTGGTTTGGCCTTCTTTGACCCAAAACACCTTGTTTTCATGCAGGCTGGGGCTTGGCCATCTCTAGGGTTGAGTTTTCCCACTGGTGCTGCAAGGATGGGAGTGGTGGGACGACAACGTGGATGGGTGGAGGGTGAGGAGGACACGTGGGCTCCAGGTGTCCACATTTTGGAAGGATGTTGCACCCCTATGACATAATCATCAGCGCCAAAAAAACCTCAACCTCTGCTTGGTTTGAACCCTCATCCTTGTCCAAGGGAAACGGAGAGGGATGGAAAGCCCCATCCCAGCTCCAGGGACTCAACACCAGTCCCACCACCCCTGCAGAGGATTCCGGAGGGGTCTGTCACCTTTTGGGCAGAGAAGATGCTCCCGCCCACCCAAAATTGGGAGAATTTTTTTCAGTTTTACTCCTCCAAAAAAGGTTCTTTCCCCAACACAGCTCCTGCTGCGTCACCACCACAGAGAGACTCACACGATACCAACACGCAAATGCTTTTATTTTGGCCACGATTTTCTTTCGAACCAGCCCCTTTCCTCAAAAAAAAACCAACCCTAAACACGGTTGAAAACATCAAGAAACGGTACCGAGACATCGAGAAACATCCCGGTTTACCGTGATTTCTTGTTTCTTGGGTGAAGCTCATGGGTCTCCCTTCCCTCCCATCCCCTCATCTGGAGTCTAAGGCAAATCACTCTCCCCCAAAAAACCCTTTATATATAAAATTGTATCAGGAAAGAAAAATAAGAGCTGGTGGATGAGATGGGTTCTCCTCGGTGCCACCACCGGGGACCACCATCACATGTAGGTAGGTCTGAGATGCCACCAGGAGGGGGACGGTCCCCAATTGGGTGGTCTCCATCTTTGGCCGATGTCTCTTGCGATGCGAGACATGACCGGAGCTACGCTGAAAGCTCTTGCAGCACTCGGCACAACCTTAAGGCTTCTTCTCCTCGTGATGGATCTGCCGATGCCGCACGAGTTGGGTGCTGGAGGTGAAGCTTTTGGGGTGACCCAGGCGAATGGAGGGTTTCTGCTCCGGGTGGGAGCGTGGGTGAAGCAGGAGGTTGGAACGACGGTTGAAGCCGACACAGGTTGTGGGGAGCGGGGACGAGAGACGCAGCAACATCCTCCTCCATGGCCGTCACCTCCGTGGGGACAACCCTAAATGGGGACAAGCCCAAAAGCCATCACCCCACTTTTCTCCGGGGTTGGGGTTTTGCCTAAAAAAAGGCATTTCTGGGGAAAAAAAAATAAATAAAAGATGGTGGGGAACCCCTCTACTTCAGCACCCACCTGGGGTGGGGAAGGTCGCTGCACCCCAGGAAGGGGGGATTTTGGGGGGCAGCAGAGATTTCTCCATCACTCTGCACCCTAAAGGTGAGATGGGTCGACCCATCTCCCCTTTATATAACATTATTATTTTATTAATAGAAAATAACCCCAAAGCGGTATTAAACCGCAGGTTATTCACTCACCCCTAATTTTCCAGCCACCATGGTTGGACACCGATGCCATGACGGGAAGAGCAGAGACCGATATTTGGGTCTAAATCTCCCTAAACCAGCATTGAAGAGGAGAAAGAGGGGTTTTCAGCTCAAAATGCATCAATCCCACCTCGTGGCCCCATTTCCTTCAGCGCAGGGTGAAAAATCCCCTCGCGGAGTGACGCTAAAATGCCCCGCGGGGATGGTTTCCCCCCCCAAAAAATAATAGCGGAGGTTCCATCCTCCCACGTCCCCTTTGTCCCTCGAGGAGGGTGTCACCACGATGAAGACTTCTTTTGGTAAAACCAAACCGGAAGATGCTTGAAAAATAAAAAATATGAAAATATCGGCGGGGAAAGGAAGCGGTTCCTGAGCCGACGGTGTTTCACGCTCCCTGAGGAGGTGGAGAAGGCACCACCGGTGGCACCACGCATGGAAAATGGGGCGACCTTGACCTTCCCCCTTCATTTTCGCGGCTCCCGGCCGTGGGTGCGGTGATGACGGGCCAGAAGGGAGCTCTGGTAAAACCCCTTCCCACACTGAGCGCAGCTATAGGGTCGCTCGCCCGTATGGATGCGTTGGTGGGTCACCAAACTGTAGCTGCGACTGAAGCTCTTCCCGCAGCCGGGGCAGGTGTAGGGTCGCTCCCCCGTATGGACGCGTCGGTGGGTCACCAGGTTGGAGCTGCGGTTGAATCGCTTCCCGCAGTCGGGGCAGCTATAGGGTCGCTCGCCCGTATGGATGCGTTGGTGATCGACGAGGGTCGAGCTGTCCACGAAGCTCTTCCCGCACTGGGGACACTGGTAGGGTCTCTCCCCGGTGTGGACGCGGTGGTGACGCATCAGCGAGAAGCTGTCGCTGAAGCTCTTCCCGCACTGAGGGCACTTATAGAATTTCTCGCCCGTATGGATCCGTCGGTGTCGGGATAACACCCAATTATCGCTAAAACTCTTCCCGCAATCCGGACACTTATAGGGTTTCTCACCCGTATGGATCCGCCGATGACGGATTAAAGCCGAACTCCAGATAAAATCTACCCCGCAGTCGCGACAGACGTAAGGCACGTCGCCTATATGTGGAACGAGAGAAGAGCTACCGCTAAAACTCGCCCCGCAGTCGGCATATCTATAGGGTCCCTCACCCGTATGGCTTTTCCGATGGCGGATATAGGTTGAACAGTTGCCAAACCGTTTCCCGCAGTCTTCGCAAACGTATCGTTTTTCCCCCGTGTGGATTCGACGATGATTCACCAGCGTCGAACCGCGGGTGAAATCCTTCCCGCATTCGGGGCACGTATAGGGTTTTTTTCCCCCGTATGGATCCGCCGATGGGTCAGTAAAGCGGAGCTGCTGCCGAAAGCTTTCCCGCACTCGTAGCATCCATAGGGGCGTCCGGGGTGGGGGGATGTTGGTACCCCCAAACGCTCCGGATCGGCTTCTCTTGGCGGGGCTGGATGTGGGGGTCCGCCTGTGCCTTCGCAGTGGGGTGACGGTGGAGGGGACAGATCTGGGGGGGCGCGGGTAGTGTGGGGGTCACCCCTCTCCTCCATGTGCCGGTTTTGGGGGGCCGGTGGGTCCCTTCCCGGCTCCATTTGTGTGGGGGTGGGAGGAAAGGTGGGGGGAATCACGTCAAACCTGGGGTGGGAGAAAATGGGGTGCAAGGTGAAAACCTGTAGAGCTGCCCCCCGACATCCGCACCCCAAAACAGTGGGGGGGGGGG